ACTGAAATTATTTAGAATTTACTGAATAGATCATACTACATTTATTATTTTTATGCATATGTGTATAGGTTCATCTATATATTAAAGCCATATATAAGTGTATATATGTATGTATGTATGTGTGTATATGTATAATTTAAGCCGTTGTACCTGATCTGATCTACTTGCCTGAAATATAATGTTCTCACTGTATTCTTGCCAGTCTCAGGAAGCCCCCTTTTTTACAATCATGTATACCCTTTTTCCTGTCTTTTATATTGTAGAATAAGTGTGTACCCTTTCCATTTGTTACAATTGAGGGGACCAAAAATAGCTCAAGTTGTTGTGTAAAACAAGGAAAGAACTGCCGAGCATACACCTCGTATGTAGTAGGTAACTACATTCACTGAAGATCATGGGATGGTAGGAAGAACAGGGAGAAAGGGAAAGGGAAAAAGGATGAAAGGAAGAAGAGACTCAAGGATAAAAGAAAAAAAGGGGTCTTGAGAGCTGCAGCTTCCAGTATTTATAGAATTGGATACCACTGACCCAAGGAGCCTCCCAGTTCTCTCACCCTAGGTCGGCAGACTGTGAGAGCACCTGAGTTTGAGCCTGGATACTCATCAGAGTGGTGTTTGGGTTTGACTGAAGGGAGAGGAGGGAATGGCTCACACAGCTTCCCTGTTTTAGGGAATGGGAACATGGATAACCATTAGGGCGGGGTAGCAGTTACAGTTGAACAAAAGGAAGGGACTGACTCAGCTCCTTTGTTTCTAACTGTACCGTAGTCATCTCTGTAGGTAATTTATGAATTCCTTAGACACTGTAATGCCACTTGGCAACCGTTTTTCTATTTGATATTTCTCAGACAGATTGGCATTCTAAGATGTTATCAAGTGACATGAAAAAAGTGTTGCATGATTTGGGAAATCTATGTACTAATTTCTTTTTCTTTTTTCTTTTCTTTTCTTTTTTTTTTTTTTTTTTTTTGAGACAGGGTCTCAGTATCTAGTTCTGTCTAGTTTTAAACTCACTGAGTAGCTCAGGCTGGCCTTGAACTTGTGGCAGTCCTCCTGCCTCAGCCTCCCAAGTGCTGGGATTACAGTCATGTGGTACCATGCTTGGATACCAGTTCCCTTCTTTAGCTGATTAGTAATGTACCTTACTGTATGAGTGGCCTCATGAGGTCCTACATAAAGAAATCTGTTAAATTTTGTTTAATCCTCCCAATTTATTTGAGCATGAAACATTTTTTTCTTGAGATGTAGATATTAACTTATGCAATGTCATGCTCCTTTAAGCACAAGTTTGAAAAACACGTCTCTATAGCATTTGCCTTCTTTTTCAGGCCTCCAGACCTTGCCTGCTTCAGACCTTGACATTTTCAGTTCAAGCCCTTAACCCTATCTCAACTCTGTTTTTCTAGAGTAGGGACTCACAGCTGTAAATGTCCCTCTTAGTGCTTTCACTGTGTCTCAGAGATTCTGATATGTTGCAATATCATTGTCATTTGACTTTAGGGATTTTAAAATTTCCTCTCTAATTTTTTCCAGTGACCCATTGATTGTTCAAGAATGTGTTATTCAATATGTATGTTTGTGTAGTTTCTGAGATTTCTTTTGCTGTTGATTTCTACTTTGATTCCGTTGTGGTCTAATAGGATACAAGATGTTATTTCAGTTCTTTTGTGTTTATGGAGATGTGCTTTATGGCCTGAAATATGATCCATTTTATTTTTGAATAAGGTCTTGCTGTATTGTTAGACTGTGTTCAGACTCACAGTCCTACTTCAGCCTCCCCAGTAACTGGGATTGCCATGTGCTACTACACCCAGCTCTATTGTTTTTAGACCTGAGAAAGTGAATGCTGTCAATTTTGCTCTTCACGTGTGTCCTCAAATCTTTGCCTCTTGTCTACATTTTGTGCTCCTACTAGGCTGTAACCTGGATGAAGTGGAAGAACATAGCTTTTGTTCCCAAATGGAACATCTCTTCTTGAACCCACATCCCCTTTCTGGAATCGTAATTTCTCTACATTCTGTTTGACCTTCAGTTTGATGTGTTGCAGTTCAGTTCTGCCACTGACTATCCAGGGTTAGCACAGACTGCACAAGTTAAGGAGCGTGGTCCCTACCAAAGCTGCCCTTTGTATAGACACCAGCCTCACTTCATGGGCTCCCAAGCCACCGACACTTTTGACCTGGGTTTAAATCTGGGGTTCCTATGACCATTTCAGGTTCGATAATTCCTAGAATAACTCATAGAACTAGAAAAGCATTCTACTTAAAATCAGTTTGGAGCTGGGATGCTAAGTTAGGTAAAATACTATAGGCAGCCAGACAAGGCTTGGCCCTCAGGGGAGTCAGTGCAGAGGATGAGAACACATCACAACTGTGGCTGGAGATGCATCTGTTGAAGATCAGGCCTCAAGACAGAATGACCAGGCCTACATACCTCCCTAGGGGATAAGATAATTGATGTCACTGGTCCAATAAAGTCTAGCTAGAAGTCAGTCACCCTATTGGGTGACCGAGACCTCGATCTATCCCTTCCTAAAGAAGGTCTTTTTTCTTTCTATATACACTTGCAACATGACCTGCTTCCCCATTGGATAGATATTACCTAAGCAACTGTACTTACAGTCTATTGGTTGATCATACTTTTGACCCACATTGTACCCACCTTATATATTTGCATTATAAAGCTTCTTTTAAAAAGTGGGCTCATTCGGAACCACTTTTGGGTCTCCTCCTGTCTTTCAGGAGCTATCTTTGTCAATAAATGTTCCCTACTCTTAGCCTCTGTTGTTCCTGGGAATTCATTCTTTGATTTTGGGGAACATGAACTTGGTATATCTGATATCTAGCAAGGTGGAAATTACATTTATTTCCCGTGTATTCCAGTGGGCACATTTTATGACCTGGGGCAGGGTGTATTTTTGTTTTGGAGAGTTGAAAATCTGGAATGTCAATCTGTAGAAAATGAGTGCTCACCTTACATGTGCAAGGTCTGTTTTACAGGAGAAAGGCATGGGCTCAATCTGTTGTATTTTTTAGTACTGGAGAATTTAGGAATAAGTGGCCTAGAAGGGGAAGAAATAGAATCTTGGATAGCTTTGTATACTGGAGCAGCAATATTTTAAAAGCAAATTATAAATTATGATTTTACTTTGCCTCTTTTGTACCTATCTTTATTTCTTCTACTGAACCCTTCTGTCTGTCTACCGGCTTAGTCCAAGACGCTATAATGTCTTGTCAGTACCACTGCAGCAGCCTGTCATTGTTTCTTCCCTTATTCCTCTGCAATATATTTTCTAACATGGGAACCAGAATTATTCTTTTCAAAGGTTATTCAGATTATGGCATGCTCAAAACGCTACAGTATTTTTCCATCCTTCTCAGAGTGAAAGGGAAAGTCCTTACAACAGCTTGTAGGAGCTTGTGTGATCTAGCCCCTGCTGCTGGTACTTCTCTAATCACATCATTTGCTACTCTCCCTTTCATTGTTTTCTAGCCACATTTGTTTTTTTAATGTACCAGAACTTTGCACTTGCTCTTTAGAAAGCTCAGTATGGCCTGTTTTTGCTGCATTCCTTTAAGGTCTGTCCTCGCGTTGCTGCAGTGGACCCTTCCTAGCCTGCCCTGTGAAATACCCACCCATTCTCACACATACCCTCCTTACTTTTTTAACCTACTTTACATTCTTTTATTATCTCTCTCATCTATCTCCTCTTCTCTCTCTCTACATACACACACACACACACACACACACACACACAAATATGCACACACACACACAGTTTATTTGTGTCTCTTTTCTTACAACATAATCTCCATGAGAACAGAGACTCAAGATTGCTGAGCAAATTATTCTGTTGCTGGTCTTTAAAAGCTGCTCATGAAAAAACTTAGCTTAGAGAAAAAGGGATCCTCTGTTCCTTTCCAAGGGTAGAATCTTCTTTAGAAACTTGATTTCATCCTTTTTAGACTTGTTTTAAGATATTTTCTATAAGGAATATTAGTTCTCTAATGCTTCCTTCTGTCTGTAAGACTTTTCTACTCTAAAAAAATGAGGGGAAGGAATCTCTCAGTGCCGCTGCATCTTCCTATAATGACCATTCATTTTCCCCCTCAACGTTGCCAGGTTTTTGAAGTCTGTATTTGATGTCTATATTTCTTCATCTCTCATTTATGCCTACTATCATTCACTTCTGCTGGCTTCACAGAAATTACTTATGATGTTTAGCAGATAACCTTCTAATCAGTAAGTTTATTTCTTTTTTTATTTTTCAATCCACCTTGATTCTCCTGGCACATAACACTACCTCTTTGCTAATGCTACTCTACAACTGACTTGTCTCTGACTGTTCTATCTTGGTCTCCTTCTGTTTCTTCCCATGTCTCGAACGTTGCTTTTCTTTAGAACCTAGTGCTAGCACTAGAATCTAGTTTCCCAGTAGAAACTCTCCTTGGGCAGTGTCACTTCCATATACTTCCTTTGTAGTGATGACTTCTAAATTTGGGTCTTTAGGCTTGGCCTTTTTTGTTTGTTCGGTTTTTGCACTTTAGGATTCAGTATCTGACTACTAAAATTTCCATCTGAATATTCCATAAGAACCTCAAATTCAGCATGTCTAAAACAAAATTCACTATTTTTAAAAAAACCATTTGACTTTGTATTATAGGTATAATAATGGAATTTAGTCCCTAGAGTAATTGTAAGCATTAAGATAATGCAGAAAACATGCTTTGAGTTTTGGCAGATAGAAAGCACATAGTAAGTAAGTACCTACTATTATTACATGATAGTTTCTCCTGTTATACTACAAGCTACTTGAGGGCAAGGACCAAGTCCTCAAATCTACCACTGTCTTTAATTTGTAATGAATATTCTTTAAAGGTTGAGTTAAAATGAGTAATAATCAATTGAGCATACGGTTTGTGTAATCCACGTACTAGCTTAAAAGCTTATTATCATTTTTTTACAGTGGGATAACATCAGATACTTATTTTTTCTCTCTAGGTGCATTATGTTGTAATCATTCAAAGGATAACCAAATGTGTCGTGATGTTTGTGAGCAGGTAAGCTTGATGATAGTTGTAGATGCTGTTATGTAGTTATTTTAAATTAGTTATTGAGATAACCGTTGAACAGCACCATAACCATGTGAACAGAGTTCATATCCCTTTAATGGAACAATTGACCTATGTCTGCCGATATGATGCACTAGAAAGAACACAGTATCTTTCAAAGGATTCCTGCCAAAAGTGCATAACTCAAATCATGAGAAAAAAACAGGCAAACCTAGACTGAGGAGTATTATTTTAAGGCCTAAAGCCTTAAAAATATCAGTTATATTAAAATACTCATGTCAGTTATTATGAAAACTAAAGAAAGTCTAAGAAACTGTTCTAGATTAAAGGAAACTAAAAACCAAGTGTGGTGATACACCCTTGTTGTCACAGCACTTGGGGAGCTGAGGCAGGAGGATGGTGAGTTTGAGGCCAGCCTGTCCTACATAAAGAAAAGAGAAGAGGGAGAGGGGAAAGTGGGAAAGAGAGGGGAAAGGAGGAAACCAAAGAGATACGGCAACTAAATGCAATCCATTATTCTGGTTGGATCCTGGAATGAAAAGAAAAAAACGGTCATAAGGGACTTTATTGAGATAAATTGGTAAAATTTGAATATGGACTGGATTTTAATTAATAATATTTTATTGGTTTTATGATCCTGAACTTGGTCATTTTTGTGGTTATATGTGACAGTATCCCAGAGATACATACGTGCTAAGATTTAGGAGTGAATGGGCATAATACCTATAATTAATTCTATAATGGCTAATCACTGCATAATATCTGTGTAGAGACAGAGATAAAACAAATTTTGTGAGATGTTAATAATGGGTGAGTCTCAGTGAATACTGTGTAGAAGTTAATTGTATTAGTGTTAAAACTTTTTAGATAGACTTTTCTAGTTAAGTGTTTATATGCATGTTCCACTGCTTGTAAAGTCTTGCTTTTCTTTTGTCATAGTAGTTGTACTATCTAGCCTTAGCATTTGAAAAATAATATTCTCAGTCATTTCTTAAAGTTTTCTACTGTGGAGGCTGGTTGGAGATATGTCACTAGGAGCATGCCCCGAAAAGGTCTCTGTCTCTTTCTCTGGCTCTTCCCTGTGTTCTCTGCTTCCTGGCAGCCATGAAGTGAGCACCTTTTTTCACCCAGACCTCTCTGCTATCCCATTTCTGCATTGGAGCAGTCAGCCCTGAACTAAAATCATGAGCCAAATAAACCTTTCCTTCTTTAAGTTGTGTGTACCAAGTATCATGTCTCAGTGACAGGAATTCTGGCTAAGACACTAGTACAGTAATTTCTGGATCTTGTCACTTTCTAAAATTGACACTTAACTGGGACTATAACTTTTATCAAACAATACTGTGGACTTAGAAGACTTTGCATGATACTCTCAGATTATGAGACATGACAGTTTGTTACCTCATCTAAATAGCTAGTAAAGAACTTGGTGATTATGTTGGTGTCTATTTGCTCTTTTATTTCCTACAGCATTTGCTTTATGAAGTTAGATGCTCCAGTATTTGGTACATACATATTTACAAGTGTTATATTTTTCTGTTAAAGTGTTCCCTTGACCAATATGTATTGACCTTCTTTACCTCTTCTGATCAGTTTTAGCTTGAAGTTTACTTTTGTCTGAGGGTAAAATTGCTCCCTGTCCTTACTTCTGAGGCCTTGGCACATGAAATATTGTTTTTCTTTCTATTATTTGATTTTTAATCTGTGAATGTCTTTTTGGATTAGGTTCTTAAATGTAACATAGTGTTGGATTTTTTTTTTTTTTTGATCCAGTCTGTGAATCTGTATTTTTTAATTGGGCAGTTGACATGATTGACATTGACAGGTATTGTTGGAAGGTATCAATTTATTCCTGTCATTGCATTGTTTTTCTGTTCTTTTCTTTTCAATTAAAAACATGATTTACTTGAAGGTGGGGACAGAAGAGAGGAAGGTGGGGAAAGCACTGCTCTAGACAAATAGGGAGTATTTGAAAAGGGAATCGGCCACATTCTTTTTCTTTTGATGACTCCTCCCTCTCTGTCTCCCTCCTTTCCTCTCTCCCTCTCGCTTTTGGTGTGGTTGTTGTTTATCTATTTGCCTTGTTTGTTGTGTTCATTCCATTGAATTTTTGGCTTTGTTGTCTCTGTCTAGGATATTCTTAAGGTTTTTTTTTTTTTTTTTGAGTGTTAGTTTGGTGTATCTCTTTAATTTTTGTTTTTTGTGGAATATCCTTAATTTTCCATCTATTTTGAAAGAAAATATTCTAGATAATATTAGCGCATGTTAGAAATTGTTTGCTTTTAGGGCTTGAAAACTACTCCAGACTCTCCAGGCCTTTAAAGTTTGTGTTGAGATATCTGCTATAATTCTCGTGAGTTTCCATATTTATTATACATGACTTTTTGCTTTTCTCTGACAGCTTTTAAGATTCTGTCTTTTAGTTGGACATCTGGGATTTTGACTAAGATGTGTTGTGGGGAGCTTCTTTTTTCATACAATTAGTTAGTATTCTGTAAGCCTCACTTACTTGTATGTTGAAAATAGTTCCTAATACTTGGAATGCTTTTTTATTATGATTTCTATAAACAGATTTTTTTTATTATGTGTGTGCTGTCTTCGAGTTTTTCTAACTCAAATTAGCCTTAGATTGGTAATTTTAGCATTGTCTAGTATTTGTTGGGTAACTTTCTTGTTCTTTTACTATTTTTGAAGCTTCTCTGAATAATTTGGGCTTTGAGGTGGTTTGTTTGTTTGTTTTAGTATTGGAAAATTTGCTGTAATTTACTGTTTTGCCTTTATTTTAGAAACCTTGTATTCACAATGATCATTTCTGCATTTTATGAATTCTGTAATTTTTTATTTTCTGAATTTCTTTTTTATTAAATCTATATTTTGTTAAATATGTCATTCATGTTTTGAACTGTTTAACTCAGTGCTTCCATTTTTTTGTTTCTCCCATATCCATAAAAGTTTATATGATACTCTATAAATGTTTCGGTTATGTCCTCTTTGAACTCACTACTTCTCCCTTATCAATTCATAAAGCTCTTCTGCCTAGTACTGCTCTCCTCTTCATTGGTGCTCCCTGCATCTGCCTTGGGAGAGTGAGGGAACCCTGCAGGCCTCTGTTGCCTTGTTTTCCTATATTTGTGGTGTGTGTGTGTGTGTGTGTGTGTGTGTGTGTGTGTGTATGTGTGTGTGTTTGGGTAGTGAGGATTGAGATCAAGTAGAGTAAAGAAAGATTGTAGTTGATGTGAAAATCTTTTTAGCTATATTTGGCCTTCCCAAGGTTTGTTTGTGGCTTCATTTGTCCAAAGGTAGTGCTTATCCTTCAGCTATTTAATTTAAATAGTTTGGATGCTGTAACTTTGTTGTAAGGAGAAAATTACTACTGGTTATAACAGCATCAATGGACTTGATCATGTATCATTTATGCTATTCTGTTTCTATGCTATACTGTTAGTTGTAGTTTGTAATATAGAAGGGAAAAGGGACGAGAAGAAATGGAGGGATGGGTGAAATGGGTATAAGTTAGTAGAGGAGAGATAGGAGAAATAATAATAGGTTTAAAATAGAGAGGGATCAGTTTCTGTTGGAAATCTTTCATGGTTAGTGCTGAGGGTTTTAAAAAGGTGTTTGTAGGGATGGGGCAGGATGTTGGAGGAGGGGGTATAAATATGGACTGAGGAAAGCTGCAAGGTTGTCAGATTCTGTCGATGCATTTGTGCACCTGTGAGGAAGAGACGAAGCAGGCGAAAACAAGGGGATAAGTAAATTAAGGAAGAGCAGAAGGAATGGAATATAGTGGACAGGTGGTTAATAGAAGACAGAAAAAACAGAAACTTGACATTAAAAAGTGGGAGAAACAAGCAAAGAAATTTAAAAAATACTATTGATAGAGAAACTAGAATTGAAAAAAAAGGAGGTAGGAAGTAGAAAAGAAACTAAGAGCTATGTCAAAGCAAAAGAAAAGGAAAAGAAAGATGTAACAACAGCAGGCATATCTGGTAGGCACCCAGATCAAACACTCTGCAAGAGAATGTTCATGGAATTTTCACATGTCCACTATGCCACCAAGCTTGAGTGTTAACATGATTCTCTTCTTGCCTAGCTGTGGTCAGTGTGTGTGTCAGTTATCTACAGTCTTTTGTCTCTGTCCCACTACCCGAGCACTCGGTTAATCTGAAAAGAGAAGGATGTAAAATAATTTTCCTGATGCAGTTCTCCTTCACCTTCTGCCAGTGTGCCTTGCCTCTCAGTTGCATTTGTGCTAGGCAAACCTCTGTGTTCTTACTTAAGATATTTTCCCACTATTTTGTTGCCTGCAGTTCCCTGCCCCAGCCTGTCCCATCTTTTCCTTTTCACTTAGATCTCAAACTGACCCTGTCTCACGAAAATTCACCTTTCCAACCAGCATAATGATAAGAACAGTTCGGGATTTCCTGTTGACTCAGGCTTTTCTAGTTTGGGTGGAAGCAGCAGGCAAGAGATCCTTCTGAACCAAGTCATTAGCTTATTCCCTCCCCTACCTCCAGAGATGTGGCCCACGGTAAAGCCCTGCCAAAGCTGTGGACTCAGCAAATGCTGTTTGCTATATTTATCCTCTCCGACTGGGGTGGGCAGGCTTTCCTTGTCTAAGGTGAGCACTGGAGAGAATGCCACAGGACCGAAGCTTCCCCCAGTGTTGGGGTGAGTCTGTCCCAGGAGTCCAGCCTTTGCGGCGCTCCTTAGTTCCCTTGTGTGATTTGTTCACTTTCAAAGTAGCTCTTGCCCACAGAGGTAGAGGTGGAGCCCTGCTTCCTCTGCTTGTGATCCAGGTGTATGGTTTGATCTGCATCTTTTAGAGTCATTTTCCGTTTGGGGGTGTAAGTACCTCCTCCACTTTAGAGTACCTATATTTTCAGTGAGTCTTTTCTGTATCTCTGACATGACTCCTCTAGTCAACCATGTTGAATCTCTTCCCCAATTCCCAGCCCTTTTTGTTTCTCATTTTGAGACAGGGTCTTGATAATTTGCTCAGGCAGCCCTTGATTTTAGAACCCTCCTGCCTTAGCCTGTTTAGTAGTTGGGATTACAGGCCTGCACACAGTACTTAGCATTCTTTTTTTTTTTTCTTTAATTTTATTTAAAAGGAAAAAGAAAAAACAAAACAAAATAAAGCGGTGTAAGGGTACAAGTTAGCATTTTTTTTAATAAAAATTTTTTCAAACTTATAAAAATATATTGTTTTTAATGTACATGTTATGTTCCTGACTGTTACAAAGTTTTTGAATATAGGAACATAATGTGTTATTCAGCCCTCACTCATAGAAGTTGATCAGTGAATATTTACAAGGTGACTAGTAAAGAAATGAATGTAAAAAAAGGAAAACATTGTTAGTGAAGAAAATGAAGTGATTTACTCAAAATGAGTGATTTGCTTCTGTGACAATAGGGGAAATAAATTATAAAAGAAAGAAAATACATGAGTAAAAAGAAAAATTTAGGATTTTGAGCTCTGAGATCTGATTATTTTTGGCTTGCATGAATAGAAGCGAGCTGAGTTAAGGATTTTTTGTTCTTAAATGATTGATACAATGATACCATATATTATCCTTTTTAAAAGATATTACCAGTTGTTCAGTATGAAAAGGAATCATTTACATCCAAGTCTACATTATTATCTGAAAATATGCATGCTGATTTTTTAAGCTGCATGTCTTCTTGTTAAGTATGTTTCTCAGTTTAATTCATCCTACTTTATGGAACCATAATTCAGAGACAGAAAGGATCTGGTAGACTGTCTGAATTCTTAATTTTTCTCATTAGCTCTTCAGAAAACAGGAACCTAGGAGCTAAATTCTGTTTTTTCTCTGTGTGCCAACCCTGTGCTGTACTTTTTTATATACTTTATTTCATTTAGTTTTCACGCCAATCCCTTGAAGGTAATGACATCTGCATTATACAGTGAAGGAAGTTGACCTAGAGAAAAGTTACATAACTTGTCAAGGTCTGCAGGCCCGTGATTTAAGATGCAAAGATGCGGCCCGTGATTTAAGATGCAAAGACACAGCCTAACTGATTACACACGCCACGTTCAGCCGCAAGACATAACCTCCTCCTGTAAGGCCAAGGTGCTTGTCCAGTTACTCAGCGTGTATTACTGGTGATCTCAGTGCCATGTGTTTTCTGCTGTTCTGACCTGCTTCAGGTGCTTAAAAGGTTTTGCTGTTTGGCTGATTTTGAGGAGAGATAGAATTGAGCTTTCCCTATGCTTGTTCTCATTCTACCGCCATTGTCATATATTTCGTTTTGATCATTTATACTGTAGAGTTTTCTTGTCCAAATTTTGCTATTCAGGTCTCATTTGTGGTTTGGTTTGGTTTGGTTTGGTTTGGTTTGTTGACTCCAGGACCTTGCACTTGCTAAGCAAGCTATACCACATCCTACATCCCTAGCCCATTTTTATTTTGAGAGAGTCTAACTAAATTTCTGTGCCAGTTAATCTTAATTGTCAAATTGTCCAGATTAAAAGACTTGGAGAGGTGATTGGAACATAGGGGAATATACATAAGGTAGAGCCCAATGGGAGGTGGGTCACTGGGCTTATGCCTTTGGAGGTATATCTTTCTTTCTGGCTCTTCCTCTGTGCTCTGCTTCCTGACTGAAATGGATTGAACAATGTTCCTCCACCAGATTTGTTTTGCCATATTATTTTGGCCTTCAACCAGCTGATAATGGACTGAGCCTTCAGAAGCCATAAGCCAAAATAAACTCCTGTAAGTTGCAGGTGTCAGGTATTTTGTCTCAGCAACAGAACAGCTGACTCAAACAGTTGCCCATCCTGACCTTGAGTTTGTAGTCCTCTTCTTGCCTTAGCCTCCTATGCAGTTGGGATTTTAATCATACACCACTGTGCGCAGCTCTATGGTGTCATTTAATGTGTCCCTCTTTCCTCTATATTTCTTAATAATTGGTAGTTAGATTTAGAGCAAAGTTGTCCAATAGTACTTTCTACAGTTGTGAAAATATTCTATATGTGTGGGTTAGCCTCTACCCACTGTGACAAGTATGACATGTAACACTTGAAATGTGACTAAAGAGCGAAGTTTTCACTTTATTTAATTAATGTTTAAATTTAAACATTACGCATAACCTGGTAGCATCTATCTTATAAGACAGAACTAGAGGCTTCATCAGAGGGAAGTAGTTTCATTTCCGTTTAGTGTGCTAGGCAAGTCTTTCCCATAAAGGGTCTGTGTCTAATTGTCTGTTTTCGTGATATCAACAGTTATTGTTGATAATTGCCGAAGTGCGTTAGCTCACTGAAGCTTGAAACATGGTGATATTCTAACTTTTTACTTCCTGATTATAATTGGTAGTTTTGATTAAAAAACTAGCTACTAAATAAGCTAATTGGAGATGTCTTTTGTTGTGGTCCTTAGCATTCATGGATTTTAATCTCAACTGCTTACAGGTAACCATGAAGTTCTGTCTGATATATGTACTGATTTGTAATTTACTGAGTCATCAGATTGTAATTGCATTAATTAAATTCTTTTACAGCAGTGATTTATTTAGCCAAACAAGAACTTTGTCAGTTTTTCAGAACTTGTATTAAAAGATAGCTTTGTTTCTATTTTATGGCATTTTATGGAGAGCTTATGTTCTCTAATGCTACTGACCAGTTTCATCTTTACCAATATCAAGAGTGTGACATAGTTTACTTTTTTTTTGGTCCAGGAGTTGAACTCACGACCTTGCACTTAGCAAGCAAGTGCTTGAACCGCTGAGCTAAATGTCCAGCCCTAAATTGTTATCATTTAATTAAAAGCAATGTATAGAACAGTTTAGGTAAAATTAAGATTTTTTCTTTATTTTTCTTTCTCTCTTTGTCCAGCCCCAGTTTCAGTAGATTAGCAGTCTTATTTTTCTACCTTTGGTTGAAAGAAGAAGATGTGATTGCTGTATTTGGACTTTCTTGATTATTTGCCAAACTAATTAACCTTTTAAGAAATGTTCCCTTAATTTAGATCCTTCTGAAGAGTTTAGTTGTAAAACAAGTTGTAATATACTCTGTATAACTGATAAATTTCAAAGATAATAAATTTTACTTCTTAATTTCTTAATAGAAAAAAAATCACAAAATCTTTTTTTGTTGTTTGTATGTATGTGTGTGAAATAGATTTTCTCCTCAAAAAGTGAATCCCGATTGAAACATCTATTACAACGAGCCCCAGATTATTGCCCAGAAACAATGGTAAGTTCTTAACTAGGGAAGATTTGTCTAAATGAAACCATCTAAAATGAGTTCTTTTTAGATTTAACCAATTTTTTAATGTGTTTGAGATTTAAATATCAGATTTAACAGCATACAGTATTTTTAAACAATCTTCACACAAACTACTAGATAAAATATTGTCATCTTTTATCTATTTTAGGATGTAGATCCAAAAATAATCTTAAATATAAATGTAGTCCAGTGTTTAGATTTTACTCTAATATTTTATCTGAAATTTGAAATTTTATTGTTGTGTTTTGACTAAGTTTTGAAAACTATAATAACTGAATCTGTATGTATTTTTATTTTGAAGAGTTGAATTTGGGATAAGGAAAAGATAGCATATTATTCCTATCTCCATTTTTCTGGCATACCATATATATATATATATTGCTTGCCTGTCAGAATCAAATGATTTAACATCTTTCCAGGGCTGTGCTGACGTTAGTGTTTGGGTAGTTGTGGGTCAGACCAAGAAAGCCTGAGCCTGTCTGAAAGCTGTGGAAGGGAAAAAAGTTGATGGCTAAACAGGTCTGACTGACATGTTTCTTAAGTCTTTCTGCAGGATACTTTTGTCTCTGCTTGGAACCAGTAAGCTGGGTGACCAGATTGGTCTGTAGTACTTTTAGATGAAAAAATAGGAAAAGAATAAGCACTATTTTTGTATCTCAGTTTTTTAATTTTTATTTTTCCTGAATGATGTGCACTTAGCCTATAACACTTGACTGTATGGACCTAGCCATAACTAAATTACCGTAATGGTACTATAGAGATAAATTATTATCTGTAGAAACTGGTTATCTACCTAAGACTTTTTGGTGATTACAATTTCAGGTTGAAATTTGGAGTTGTATGAATTCATCTTTACCAGGTAAGCAATAGCAATGTAACATTTTAACTTGAAAAACTTATTTTATGAATGTAAAATTGTGTCATACTCCTGAAAGCTAATGTATACTCTGGAATTTTTATTCTCTCCTCTTCCAACACTCAAATTTTTAACTATATAATTTATTCTAAGTTCATTCCTTAACTTTGCACTCTTGTATCCATTTTACTCATTCTCCTGAATCTAGTCCTTGAAAAACCATTGGCATCTGATTCCTACATATTATGACTTTTTCTTAGTATGTATGTATGTATGTATTTAAAGAGAATAAAACTGAACAAAATAAAACAGAATAAAGCCAATCAAAACAAAACAACGGAAGTGATACAGGACTGTAAAACATAATAGGAAATCCACAATGGCTACCATAGTGTATGTTGTTATCTTCAAAATAGCTGCTACCATCAGCCATAATAAAATCAAAACAAAACAGAATAAAAACAAACAAAACGATGAAAACGATATAGGACCTCAAAATAAAGTAATAGCAAGTTAGTAATGGTTACCATAATGCCTCTTGTCTTCGAAATAGCTGTTCAGACCATCAGATATAGACATATAAAATTAACCAAACAGTACAAGAACTAAGTTGCTTCTTTACTTCAGTTGTTATCTTCTCAGAAATTTCAGGTGTCTGATTTCTAATTTCTACTATGTCTGTATCTTCTGAACTTGCTCTGTGTGGTTTGGAGGTCTGATATTGTATTTTGCTCGTCTTGACATTCTCCTGTATTCCTCTAAATCAGCCCATTGCTGTATCCCTGATGCTTCCTGCATTGGCTTCCAGTCCCTGGGAGTAGTGGATTGGATTAGGTACCTGAGTTCCTCTGATTCAGGGTTCCTAGAGTGTTGGAGAGGCATGGTACACTGTTGCTCCTCTGATGGTGTTAGGGCCTCGGGGTATGGCTTCTTCTCCTGGCTGGTGCTGGGTTCAGCAGATCTCTCTGGGCTGCTGGCAGGGGGCCTCAAGCATGACTTCTTCTCCAGGGCTGTGCAGGAGCTGCTGAATCTCTCCATGCTGCTAGCACATAACCTTGGGGTGTAGCTTCTTCCTGTTAAGTCCATCTGTTCCCAAATTTGGTTCAACTCTGGTATTTCTTTGCTGATTTTCTGTCTAGTTGATCTGTCTCTCTGTGACAATGGGGTATTGAGATCTCCCATTAAAATTGTGTTATTGCTCATTTGATTTTCATGTCTTCCAATAACTGTCTTATATAATTGGGTGCATATATCTTTATGATTGTTATGGCATTTGGATTGTCTCCTGCTTTCTTATTGACCCCAGTAAATCTTATGTTACTCTTCTTTGCTTTGTCTTGTAGCTGTTGGGTTGATTTTTTATGGTCTCTTGATATTTTTAAGATATCTTTCTTTTTATGATCATTAGCTGCAATTCTGTCTTCAAGATCTGAAATTCTATCCTTTCCTTTGTTCAATCTTTTGCATATACTTTCAATGGAGGTTTAAGTCTCCTGGATTTCTTGTTTGGATTTGTTTCGTGGAGTCCATTTCTCTCCTATGTTAGGCATTTTTTGTTCCCATGGTTTTCTAAGATCATCTAGTATTTGTGTCTTCTCTAATATCTTTAATTTTAAGCATCATTTCTTTTTGTACTTGAGAGATGATTTTCTCTATAACCTTTTCCACTTGTTTTTCACTTCTGTTATCATTTCAGAAAGTTCCAATGTTTGACTTTCAACTTCATCCATCTTGTTGAATTCCATTCCTGCCTCTGTCTTGCCATTCTCTCCCTTTTTTCTTTTATTTTGTCTTTTGTGTTGATGCCCACCAACCTCTTGTGATTTATAGCTCTATCACTAGCATTCAGGCTTCTGTCAAGGCAGAAAGGAGATGTTCTTCAGAGGTAGTTGTTTCTTTGTAGCTATCCCAAGAACCTACCTTCTTCTGGTGTTTACAGTTCTGTGATAATGTCGATGTCACATCCCAGAGCTGTGCTGAGTATGGAGCTGATCCTGGCCTCCGGATGTGGAGGCTGGGACTGGTCTTCTATCAGTGGAGTTCTCCAGAGTGCAATTGCTGTCTCTTCGCTGCTGCTTCAGACACTTCCCCGTTACTGGCCTTGCTGATTATTTTACCCTCCAGAGGTGTGTGAGTATGTGTACCTGGCTGTTGTCCTGGGTCTTGGGGTTCCCATCAGTCCTGCACTCTTCCAGAGGGTTGAGGGAGTGGGTAACAGAGGAGGCCTGGAGTGTGAACTGACTGTCGACCACCCTCAGGATTTTTTTTCTTAATATTTAACCTTTTATTTTATTGACTTTTATCAACCTTCTTTATGACTTCACCTTGATCTTAGATCTTACTCTTTCCTACTTTTCTCCTCTTAACCTGCCTTAGGAATGTAGTTATTCCTTTGTGTGGTATTCTTGCTTTACCCTCACCCTCATGATCTCATTTCTTCTTGCTTTACCCTCACCCTCATGATCTCATTTCTTTTGGAATGGTTATCTAATTGACTCTAGAAAGGGAACTCTCAAATCTTAGTTGTTTTTTGTGATTTATGGATATTTCTCCCTGGATTTCTGCATCCAGGTGGCATCCGAAGTGCAAATCCAAAATCAAACGCATAATAGCCCTTGCTGAAAATGATGCTAGATTGGAAACTCGCAAGTTATTTTTGATTCCTTTTCCTTCTAGTGCCATTAGCTGTCCTCTTACAAAACTTTGCATCTATCTTTATTCTTAATTCTAGTCTTTGTAGAATACAATATTGTAAGAAATTTAGGATTGCTGTATCAACATGTTATGTCCATCTTCCCTGGCCTCTTCAGAAAGAATCCCTGAGGATATCTATTAGAATAAAACCCAAACTCCTTAGCCTGGCATTCTTGGTCTTCTAGAATTAAAACTTATTTTGTGGTTATGCTTAAAGCCAGGGGCTGTAGATAAAGGAATATACCTCATGTATCTCTGAATTCTATAACGTCACACTGTTCAAAGTTTGCATTTCAAACAAATTAAGCTGTTTGCCTTCCTGGAATTACCTACTTCCTTGCCTCTTCTTATAATTATTCTGCCCAGTTTTATGGAATTCACACATACACAGACACACACACACACACACACAGAGTTCCTACCTAACTGTAATTTCCATAATGATGTGAGTCATATGTTTTATCTGTTTCATAATTTTGTAGTACACACAGCACGAAATAGAGTATGCTGTTAGTAGGGACTCAGTAAATGTAAAAGCTTGCTGGATAATGTAATATTTCCTAAGGCCACTGGATACATGGAAATAGCAATATACAGCATTATATATTATAGCTCAGATTTTGTGACCTATGTGAATTGTATTTATAATTCTGTCCAACATGTAAGAGATTCTGAATGGAAAACAACAAAGATTCAGAGGAGACTCTACTAAGCAGTGGAGCTAGATGGGGAGTTCATTGATCTTTGTACTCTTAAAACATGGAGTGGTAAAGAAGCTTATATGCAGTCTTTTTAGTTAATTCTTATAGCTGAAATTGTTTGTGTTTAATCAACTGAGGTCAATTTGGAGAAACTTCTATCTCTGTAAACCATTTTTTGCTTCATTCATTTTGCTTCTGTTTGTCATACTGAATCCTAGCTCCATTTAGAGAACTATGTTACCTATTACCTTGAATCTTTGCCCTTCTTTCCAAATATAAATAACCTAGTGCAGATGTGGATTTGCATATCTGTGTATTACATGGAAGTGGCATAGAGTGTTTTTTAAAGGAAGCAAGGAATTTGCACATCCTTTCAATCTTGTTTTTTCTCTTTGCATGATTATTTCGTCTTTTTATAATTGTGTCTCTTATCTCCTGATTTTATACTTGGAATCATTTGTTGACGTTGATACTTGCAGAAGGGATCTAAAAACATATTAAAAGATTTTTTTCTGTATTATCTTTTGATTTCACAGTAATTTGGTTAAATCACTGCTCTGCATAAGTTGAACCAAAGTAGTACGTAGGAATTTTGCTCTGTGATTAAGTGTGTGCATTAAAGCAAGGATCGGCTCAAAAAAATTGTTCCTGCATGTTTTTTAAGCACTGAGATTGCTTTTCTGGGGTTGTTTGTTCGGGGAGATCAAATAGGGCCTTGCACATGCTGGGCAAGCACTCTACCACTGAGCTATGCCTGCAGTTCCTAAGTGTGTTTTAAAACAGAATCATGGTTTTTATGCTCTTCCTATGTAATACTTTGAGCAGAATAGTACTTGTGCTCCTTTTTTATTTGCTTGTTAAGCAGAATTAAAAACTTTGCCTCTGATTCATAATCTGAAAATAAGTGCACAGTTTTTCTCATGATTATTTTTACTATGAATGTCCTTTAATAGAGATACTAACCTACATAAAAGTTAAACCTACTTGAAGAGAGTTAACGGGGAGCAAAAAGAAAGAAGAGAAAAAAGAACATAGGACTTGGTACATATGCTGAAGGGGACCCTAAGGACTAGAGGTGATAGCATTGAGAGTTGGAATGAAGAGAGAGTGTTAATAATTTTGAGGCCCTGCTATCACTACTTATCACCAAAATTTTGAACATTTTTAAGGTGTATTTAAGAAGTCTGACGGATGGGTTGGCTTAGGCTGCTGTGAGCTGGCAATTGCCTTGGAGTGTCGACAGGCGTGCAAGCAGGTAACAGCGAGCAATCGGGCTTTTTAAGCATCATGGAATACAGCTTGGATTTTAGATGTGCGTATCTTTTAGGCCTTGCATACCTCATAGCTTTGGAAAGATGACTCACAGAAGCTGCAAATTTAGCATTTCTGGCACAGACCATTTCCTTTTAGATTGTTGCCTGTTCAGTAATGGCCACTGGATATAAGACCCTCAGCTATCTCTTATATACTTTCTTACGTTTCCCTGTTCTTGGCATGCAAAGAAAGAATCTTACAAGAACCAGGACCTTCCATACTTTATTCCATAGTCATGCCAAGTCATTGCTGACCAACTCCAAGCGTTCATGTAAACATTGAGTGTGCTTGGATGAGAGCAGCTGGCACAATTGAGTTTGTTTCATTTTCATCGTCCCTTCCCTCTGTAGCTTTCTAGTGGGCATGTTCTTACATCTCCTGTCTGCTTCTAAAGGGAGTGTGACTCGTGCAGTGAGCTCTGGCTTCTCTCCTCTCGTCCAGTTCTAGTAGGCCCTGAGTTCTCCCTCACTGCATGTATTAATAGTGTCGCAGAAAGGGAAACTTGGCCTCCTAGCTTTCTACCCCACGTGCAGAAGTCCACTTACCTGGGACCCTGGTTGCTTAGATGATGGTTTAAATGAGTGTGAGACCACAACAACTGAAAGCCTTCTCTTAAACTTTTTTTCTACAGACTGGGCTTTGGACAGGAGTATTAAAGACATGGTATTACACAAACCAGTGTATTAGTTTGAACAGCGCTCTTCGGGCAGTACATGGCCTAGCTAACTGCTGCTGTCACTATAAATTGAAGTGAAACTGAATTGTAGAAGTTTGTACTGTAATAGGTCTAATGAGACATAAAGCATCTGTGAGCCCATCCTGTTTCTTGCCTTCCCCATCCTCAGCAGCTGGCATGGGCCTAGGTAATAGAACAGAAAGAAAGAAAACAAGGGACCCAGAGCCCTTGTCTCTGGAACTAACTTATGTTTGGGTGAAGGCTGATGTCGTGTGAAAGAATAACCCCATCATCAGCTTTGTTTCAGCTTGTGTTATTCAGAAGTATGTACTTTAAGTGTAGTAACTAACTTGCTGTCTCTCTGAGCATAATTCCTAATCTATAGGGGAATAATATCTTCTTTATAAACTTGTTGAGAAAATTACATAAAAGTAACCTTTGTTAAATGCCTGACATAGTGCTCATCCCTTCTTTAGTTATCTTCTCTGTTATAAATGGCACTTCTGAGGGAATTGGCCAGTGTGTTCACTTATAAAAGCTTTGAATATGAAGGGTTAAAGAAAAAGCAAAATACAAGTGCCCTGGCAGAGCTTCACAGGAAAATTTGCTGTGGCAAAGCTTCACAAGAAAATTTGCTAGCGCAGAATTCAGTTTTTAGAAAGTCCTCTGATTTACATTGCCTTCAAAGTCCTCTAGTTTCCTAAATAACAAAACCATGTCATTATTATGTAAGACTAAAACCATAAAAGTTAGAGTGATGCTCTGGCGTGTCGAGTAGTTCCTGTTGCCTGTTTTAAAGATACTGCATGAAATTTGTTTTATTTTAAGAACTTTTAAGTATTTGAGTATTTAAGTATTTGAGTTCCTTGATGAAATAAAGAATATTACATCAGCAGTTAACATATACTAATTTCTATTCTTTTTTGTCCTGTGCCAAATAGCATGTATAATAAATTAATGGAGAAATTTGTTGGCTTTTAGGCATCTTCAAAGAGTGATATCGCCAAAGTTTGCAGAAAGGAGTATGAGGTATGGATTTTATTTAACAAATTTGGATAGACTATTTAGATGTTATCAGAATTAACAAAATCAGTTAAATTTTTTAAATGGATTCATTTTTTACCCAAATCCATTTTATCTCACAATTTAGCCTTGAAAAAATGTCATTTACCTTGTTTAAAAATATTATAACTTTAATTTATTTTTGTTGAACTATGTATTCATTTTTTAAGTGCCTAAATCTCATAGACAAAGGGCTTACAATGTTTTCATTTAAAAAAAAGCTGGTACTCTGGATTGTGTGGTAGTTCTTCTCAGATAGTGTCCTCTTTTGCCCTTTTTCCTATCTCTTAACCCACGTAGGTGTCCATTTTTAAAAAATTATTTCTATGATGAAGAATGCAAACCAAGAAACAAATCACACTGCCAGTCTGAGTGGCTTCAAACTTCACAAATGTCTTGTATTTGGGGAAAAAATACTGAGTTAGAAAGGCTGCATTAAATCTGAAACTCTTGTATCTAAAGTAGGATTTCAAGCATTGTGGTATCTAGATTTGGGAGCTATTAGTGCGAGAGTAGAGGAAGAGAAGGGGTAGAGGAGGAATGCACCATGCATTTATGTGCAGATGATTGTCCTTGACCTGAAAGCACTGCTTTGGGGGGGCTCCTTCATTTGTTTTCCAGAACTTTTAAATGAGGCAGTTTTATTGTTTTTCCTAGTGGAAGGCCAGTGCTGTGTAATTAAGGAGACCGGAGTGCACATGCCTCATTCATCATTTGTGTAACTAAACATTGGGATTTCTATTGCTTTTAATAGTCTGTATTTGCTAGAAGAAAGAATAACTCTCAAAACTGCTTCTAAATTATAGTTCTTGTTTTTTTTCTTCTCTCAAGGCCTATAATTATGTCTCTTGATTAACATTTTTCAACTAGAGAGTCTTATATATCTTTTGTCCCTTTGTAGTATTTGCTAAGTTGTATTTGTCCCTCTGAAGCAAATTTCCAAATTAACTGCAGGTCTCCTCTGTGTTTAGAAAGGAACCTTGTTACAAAGAAGTAAAAGATACATTCTTTCCTCCTTCCTGCCTTCTTCCCTCCCTCTGTCCTCTTTTTCCATTTCTTTTCTTCTCTTTCTTTCTTGCTTGATTGCTTCCTTTCTCTTTGTTTCCTTCCTTCCTTTCACCCTATCTTTCTACCTTTGAAATGAGCTGTTTTGGTTTCTTTTGAACAAAGTGGCTAACTGATAATTCCTTCTTTTCTCCCACATGCTGTCTGACATTGTCTATGTCCTGTAGCCTGTCCTCCGTTATTTTAGTGTGCTTCCTTCTCTTGTCTGGATTTCTGCATTTGCCCTAGGAAGTCTGCCAGTTTGTGTTGATGAAGGACGGGACAGGAAAGGTAAGAGAGATAAACACTGTCCTATGATAGAGATTCTAGGAACAGTTTGATTTTCCCAGCCTATCCTCTCTTATTCACCTAGAATTAAACAACCATTAAAGTGTTTACATACCAGGAGCATTCTTTATTTTTATATTCAAAGCTGACCCCTCTGGGAGGCTGAGGCAGAGGATTACGAGTTTAAACCCAGACCAATCTGGGCAACTTAGTGGCTTGGGGGGACCTGTCTCAAAATAAATAATAAAAAAAAGGGCTGGTGACATAGTCCAGTATAGAGGCCTTGGGTTCAACCCCCAGTACTGAAAAAAAAAAAAAAAAGAAAAAAACAAGCAAAATTTTTCCCTGCAAATTACTCAGTAAAATTCATTGCTTAATTTCATTTCTTGCAGTATATATTACTTAGAAATAAGAGAGGCAAGAGCACTTTGATGCAAGAAGGGAATTCTGTATTATAAACCCCAAGTCCTCTGGCTGTCATGATTGTTGAGGTCTAGTCCAGAGATAGTGTATTCTTTTTAAAAATTGTGTAAATTTGATGTGACACAGCCTATTTTAATGCAGAGCAATAGCAGAATAGTGTGTAAACCTGGGCTCTTAATGTCTTTTTCCTGGAATGGTCCTTGGGATGAACTTCTAGGTCTACAGTAATAAAGCCATTGCACTAGGCTTACAATTTTAGGAATAGCATTTACCCTGAAGGATGACTTTGTGTAGTTTGATTAGAGATGCAGAGACTAGGTAATTACATTGAAAGCAACTAATAATTATCCTTATTGGAAAATGGCTGTGAGTTCCTTTTGAGAGGATTTTTAAAGAAATTTGTTTAAATGAGGAAAGTTTTAAAAATGTAATGCCATTTTAAGATTCTGTTTTCTAACATAAGATAAATCAATTAAATGTAAAGCATTGTTCTGATTTTATGGCATCTAATGTTCTTATGTGAATCAATGATCTTTATTGAATACTGAGAGACAGTTTTATATATATTGTAGCACAAACTTTAGAGTAAGTCTTGGGTTAGAATTCTGGTTAAGCCACTTAAAATCCCTTTACTTCAAATATTAAAGAATTACTTCTAATTGAATAAAATTAATTAAAATATATATATCAACACACGAGGGCTAAGTGGCATTAAAAGCAGAGCAAGTATGTTGGGAGTTATCAAGAAAAACTTTGCAAAATGAGAGGCCTGAAAAGATTAGTATGATTTAGTTAAGAAAGCTGTGGATCAGAGGCACATTAGCAGAAATACTGACGGCTTATGCAGAGGACAAAACCAAGATATCCTATTTTGGTCTGAGAATCTGTGCTTGACTAGGTAAAGTAGAACTAGATCTGGAATGTTGCCATTTTGGAGTTCAACCTATTATTAAATGATAATAAAGATTTTGTAAAAGAAGACTAATACAACAAAGCCAGCATTTTAGAAAGCTTAAAGTCTTAGCTGTGTGCATGCTGTTTTAGACATTCCAAACCCTTCTTAGAAACTTAGCTAAAAAAAGGTAAGACCCAGAACTTGAGCGACAGCAATAGAGTTCTGTATTCAAAAATAAATCAGAGATTTGAAGGCAGAATCCATTAATAGGATTTGTTACGATGGATTGATTATAATGGATGATTCTCAAGGAGATAAAACAATTCTTTGAAGCCTAGTTTCCTGGCATACATTTACTCTTCTCCTGTACTTGAAGGCACTATGTTATATAGAGAGATTCCTTTCTGGAAATAGAGGCTTACTTGATATCTACATCAATTTTCCAAGTAAAAATAATTTTAAATGGCAGCTTACTTTCCTGGAAAGGAAATATGCAATACGCAGGCCAAAAACTTATGTGAAGCTGGAACAGTGGCGCAAACCTGTAACTCCAGCTAATCAGGAGGCTGAGGTAGGAGAACTGCAAGTTCAAGCCCAACTTAGGCAACTCTGCAGAACCCTGTCTGAAAATAGAAAAATAAAACAGTTGAGAAGAATCAACAGCCCTTCGGTTCAACCACCAGTATGGAGTGAGGCATTTGTAGGAGGGCACTTAAGTGAAGACAGGAATCCAGAAAAGTAAAGACATTAGAGAAGATGTTAGCCTTAAGGACTTTTGCTGAATCAGTTTTCACAGCTTTGTAGCTTTATGGAGGTCAGAAGTCAAGAGATAAATCTCTGGTTCTGATTGATAGTGGAAAATGTAATGAAGTCCCCTTCCTTTCCCACCAGCAAGTTTGTATTCCTAAAGTATGCTCATCTGTTCCCTACAAGGAAAATTGTTTCTCACGAACCTTAACCTTAATGTTGTTTTCTTTGAAAAGTGATAACTATATATAAGCTGGCTTTCACTTGATTTTGCAGCCCAAATCATACTGGGTTTTTAAAAATCTCATGCTGAGAATTTGTTTAAATTTAAAGCACTTCTAAAACGGTAGTGTCTCTTCAATGCCTGTGACAAGCTAACACAGATTCTTTATGGAAGAACTAATCATTATTCATACTCCTTGGGATTTCTCCAGACAATGTTCTAAGGAAAATAAAGTTATAATAAATACTCACAAAATGGATCAGCAGGAAACACAAGACTCATCAAACAAGAGCAGTCAGAAACAGTGTTGAACAGAATCAACCCTGAAGACACTGTAGGTACAGAAGGTATCATATGCAGACCAGGAAATGTTTAACACATATAGTTTTAGTCTTGGAAATACAAAGAGCAAACATTATTAAAAACAGATTTCCAAAAAAAATAGGATTGAAATAAAAACACAGTGGGTAAGTGTTGTATGTACTTCATTAGATCAGTGAACTGGAAGCTCAAACAGAAAATTACATAGAAAAACAGCACAAAGGGTCAGGAGGCTAAAGAGTAAGAGAAAGGAGAGTGAGAAAGTATTCTAATTGGAGTACAAGAAGAAAAGTATGGTCAGAGGCATCGTTTAACAAAATCCAGTAAATCCCCAAGTTTAAAAAAAATCCTACAAAGTATAAACTCATATCATGACTATATTAATTTGGAGTCTAGCGGAATGGAAAATATAATTTATGCAAAGAGATTTATTGGATAGACTTAAGGGATCAGAGGTGGAAGAATCCACTGTGACTGTGAACACACTGAAGAGCCCAGAGAATTCGGTGGCCCCTCACCAAGAAGATGGAAGCTGCAGAACAAGGGAGATCAAGCATGCCACAGCGGTGCAAGGCCAGGGGCCTAGCAGCTCACTTGCCAGTGCAAGTCTGCCCTGGAAGACTGAAGAAACTGGAGACTGATGTCCAGAAGCGATAGCAGACTAGAGCTCTTCCAAAACAGGGACCCTTCCTTCTTTTCCCTTTTGTCCAGTCTAGGTTACAAGTCCAATGCCTGGTGCCGCCTACATCTCGGGTGAGTCTTCTTCCCTCAGTTTGCTGGCCTACCTGTCAGTCACCCACAGACACTTGAAAAACTGTGCTTACCAATCTGCTAGACACTCCTTAATCCACTCAAGTTGACAGATATACCATGAGTGATGGTTGCAGTAGCCAAAAATACTGAAAGCAGTCAGAATAAAAGGCATTCCTGTCAAGAGACCAGTAGCTGATTTCCCAGTAGCAAAAAAGAAAGCCAGAAGGCAGCAGAATGATACCTACATAGTTCTGAAAGAAAATAACTGTCTAG